GACTCGATGGCACCTAACAACAACAACAAATGTTAAATGAGAGAATTGAAAGTATATTAAAGCAAACTTTTAATTGGAAAGGATGACCAAAGTAAATAAGATTTCATAAAGTAAGTAGAATGAAAAAAGATGGAGTTCTACAAGTGAAGAAGAAGAAAAAAAATCAGTTGAAGGATCAAGTTTCTCTGTAAAAGTTCTAACATAACACAACCATTTCTAAGGCTGTTGTTGTTAAGTGCAATTGAGGCAGATCCAACTCACAGTGACCTTGTATAGGGTTTCTGAGGAGTGGCTGGTAGGTTTGAACCGCCGACCTTGAGTTTGAGTGCTTATTCTATGGTGCCACATCAGCATCTGTTCTTACGTTGAATGGTCTGCTTTGCAAAGTCATATGCTTTATGAGATGTGTCTGGGAGCCTTAAATCAGAGGCTGGGACCCTAGAATGATAGTTCAGAAAGAGTTCTCTGGGTGGGAGGTTATGTTGCTATGAGGTTATGGGCTGGGAGTGCAGTGGTTTTGTAGGACAGACCCTGGACTGCTAACCACAAGGCCGGCGGTTCGTGCCCACCAGCCACTCCTCGAGAGAGAGAAAGATGAGAATTTCAGCTCTTGTAAAGATGGACAGCCTCAGACAGCCTATTCACGGTTGCTATGAGCTGGAACTGACTCAACCGGCACTTAACAACAATAAAACAATGATTGTGATAGAAATCACAAGCATTGATATTGAATCTTCATGGAAACTTTAGGTGTGGAATACCCAGAAGGGAAAGCAGAATTACCTCACCTTGAAAGGTACAATGAAGTCCTTATCTACATAAAGATGAAGATTTAGAAATCTGGCTTCTTGGCCTTAGGTAAACGAATGAAACATCATTTGAAGTCATTTTTTCCTACAGATAGCTGCAAGTAATGAGTTAAACTAAAAGAATGTGTGTTTCTAAAGGCTTAGAATTAATTGACAGAGGTTGTGATAGTTGTGAAAAAAGCTTTCTCTACGAACAAGTTCAGTAAATTCTAGGCATTAATAATCTGTTATGAATTGCACCAACAGAGGTCTCTCAAAGGTGAGAGACGTTCTAAGTACAAGAACTATCAGTATTTTTATAGTTCTCAAAATAAATATATCCATTTTTCACAGAAGAATTCTCAGTACTACCTCATTGTTGTAACAATGGGTTCTTGCTTAGATTGCATATAAGTGTACTTTTTGTGCATCAGAATTTAGTTTTCAGTGAGTTTTGTCCCTCCCACATTTGCTGTCACTGCAAGATTATGAAACTCACTTCAAAGTCCAGATTTTGTCAGGACCTAGCTCCTGTCCTACCTAGAAATCTGGTCTTCCCCTGGATTTGCCCTTGACTTGGAATTCAGCTTCAGTTATAATGGCCAAGGGGCATTTGGTATCCTCCTTTCTACTCTGAACTCAAGCCAAGGGAAGGCTTTGCTAGCTCATCTCTGAACTTGTCTTTTTATGCCGTTTAAATGCTACTGTTAAAAACAACAGCGAAAAACCTCAAACTCAAACCAAACCAAACCACAAAACCCCCATCAACTGGCTGACGTTAAAACAACAGCACTGTTTCCCTCTTTCTATGCTCTCGTTCCATATTAACATTGATATTGCAAGTGAATAAATTACTTTGATAAGGGCATGACCACTGTTTCCTGTTGTGCATGATAAATTTTCTAAGTGCCTGATTACTTGCAGTATTTCATTCCTTGAGGGGGTTGTTTGGATAATATTTCTGGAGCTACATTCTTGGTGATTTATATTCATCACTTCTCTGTCTCCTCTATAGGTCTTTTGAACATTGTCCAATTCCATGAAGTCATGAAGAAGTTTAGATAGTTTTTCTTAGAGTCTCAAATCCTTTAACTCTTCCCTCAGCTCTGCCTGCTATAAACCTTGTTTTCTTGTTTCTAATATTTATGAGGATGCAGGCTACTTCCAGGGTCCTAATTACTTTTGTCCATTGATCTTAGTGGTCAGAAAGACAAAGACAATCATATGACTTTCTGAATTAAAAGCCAACAACTTCCATAAGCAAGTAGGCACTGGCTCTTCCTTCTTATGGGTAAGTACACTGTCAGAAGAAAGTAATGCTTTTCTCTTTTAAAAGTTGACTGGAGAGCTGCAACTTTGGCATTAAAAAAAAAAAAAAAATCAACATATGCCTCTTGTGAGACTTTAAAATACTTTTGTTGTTGTTTTTGACAAGTGCCGTAGAGTTGGTTCCAACTGAGTCTACGGCACTTGTGACCCTGTATTGGATTTCTGAAGAGCAACTGGTGGGTTTGAACTACTGACCTTGCAGTTTGCAGTCTAGTGCTTATCCCACAGCACCACACCAGGATTCCAAAATAGTCTTATGGAAGATAATAATGTATGAGAAGACCCTGTTGTTGGTAAGTGCTGTCAAATCAGTTTCGACTCACAGCCATCCTGCATAAGATTTCTATGGAGCAGCTGGTGAGTTTGAACCACCAACCTTGTGATTAGCAGTACAGCTCTTATCCAACAGTGCCACACCAGAACTCCAATGAGAAGGCCCTAAGTGGTGCCAATGCTTAAGCATTTGACTGCTAGTAAAAAGGCTGGTGATTAGAACCCACCCAGAGGCACCTCTGAAGACAGACTGGTGATCTGCCTCTGAGAGGTCACAGCCGTGAAACTCCTACGAAGTGCAGTTCACTCGGCATTGAGTCAGAAATGACTTGACAGCAGTTACTAACAATAATGCACGAACACCTAGTAGTTAACGTTTTATTCAGCATTCTAAATACATTTCATTACTCAATAGTTTCAGTTTTAAAAGTTGAATATGCTTTTAAAACAGTTTACGTTTCATGGTATCTTGGAACTTAGGACCTGGCTTTTCTGTATCTGTAAGTCATACTTTAGTACAAATGCAGAGGAATCCTGGTGTGGTGCTATGGGATAAATCACCAGACTGCAAGGTTGGTTTGAACCACATGGTCGGTGGTTCAAACTCACCAGCCGCTCCTTGGAAACCCTATACAGGGTTGCCATAAGTTTGAACCAACTCGACAGCACCTAACAACAACAATACATACCAAGGGAACACAGTGTGAGAGGGGTTTTACTCTAGGATGATTTTTATTGCAACCACATAGTTTTGGCTGGACATAAGGACAATGCTAGTGGCAAACTATAGGTCCCAGATGGTTCCGGAAGACCCATAAAGAGAGGGCTCGCTGCTGTGGTTGCCATGGCTCAAGGGACTGAAGGCCAGGCCCAGCGGCTGCCATTCAATCCAGGCTGCATCAACTGGCTCTCATTTCTTGACTTTTCAGTGGGGAGAACTAGCCAAGGTTTTAGGTACTTTAACGAACTAACAGAAAGCATGTTCCATTGAAGACAACTTCACACTGTTCTTTTTCTCTAAGTAGTAATTTTATATCTAGCTATTAAATGTATTCTGTAGTTATCTGTTCAAGCAAAAGGTATTATGTGCTTGAAGTTCATTTTTACATTTTAGTAGAGGTGAATGAAAAAAGAAATACAGTTTTTTGGGTTGTTTTAATTATTGTGATTTGATTTTCTCATACAGCTCTTATTGGTTTTATATTTGAAGATATACTTTATGTGAATTAGATTCAGGCTCATTCATACAATTTTAAATTTGACTCTTATGCCAAGTCCTATGACTTTTCACAAGGACCAGCTTACAAAGTTGTGACCTGGTCATTTTAAATTCCTGGGATGGAAACGTTCTAACTAGAGAGGACTTTGCCCCCTGGCTTTGTCCGGTGTCCGGTTCTTTTTGTTACTAACCCTCCACCAACTACCTCCCACCCGACTCCAGTCTTCTCAAGCAGGAAAAGACAATGTGACTTCAAGGAGACTGCAAGGATTGTGCCCATTTAGGGGTAAAACACGTCAGCAATGCAAAATGGGGAAATGAAACACCAGCTCAGCCAAGTGATTAAAAAA